AGCTACCCCGGGTTGGGGCACATTCGGCGAATTTGACTTTTTTTACAAAACTGTAAAATTTTTTAACTAATACAATTTTTTTATATCTTTTTGGTACTATTTTTTATAATTAAGTGTCTGAGGACAATAATCAGCCATAAAGTTGTTATATATGTTGAATAAGTACTGAGATATAGAGCTCTAAAAAAAAGTGCCGAAGGTGCCCCAGTCTTCCCTACTTCTGCAACCATAAATAAATTATTCTTACATCTTGCTATTGTCGTTAATGGCCCACCTTCAAATTCTGCAATTCCCCTTAATGTTACTAATCTTGGTAATGGTCCTAGTTAATTGTTGTAGCTCCACGTAAAACCGTTTTAATATCTAGGCTTCACCCTAACACTTCGACTGATAACATCCGTGGGTATGTAAAATCTAAAATAAACGATTTATCTGATAGTGATTTAAAAATCTTTAAATTCAATTCTTCCCAATCTCCTTTCTTCGTTTCAAATAATAGTTCCTAAGAAATTGTAAAATTCTATAGTAAAAAAGTATGGTAAAAATAGTTTTTTAGGGAACGTCCACACATTCCTAAAACTATTAATATTCCACCTGTTTCAAAAAAAAACGGTATATTGCTTTACCGGTTCTATATAAAAATGTTAGAGGTCTTAACACTAAATTGAGAAATGTGTTCCTTAAAAGTTTCTATAGTGATTTTAAAGTAATCATTTTTACCGAGACTTGGCTTTTCTGATAATTATCAAGTTTTTAGAAAAGCTACATTATCTAAAAGGGTGGAGGAGTTCTTATAGCAGTCTATAATACGAGTCTTTCTGAATTTGTTGATGTTTCAGTAATATATTGAATTTGTATCTGCAAAATTCTTGGTAATACTAAATTCTTTACATGTTCTTACATTTCACCTAATCCTGGAGTTGAAATATATTTAAATCACGCTAACGTAATTGCAAAAGTCTTCGTTACTTAATAACAATTCCTCTTTAATATGCATGGGAGATTTCAACCTTCCTTGTGTCGCTTAATATTTAATTCTTGAAGACATTTATCATCACGATATTCAATATGACACACTTTTCAAAATTTAATCTTAATCAGACACCCGTTCGTAATATATATTAAGCTAAATTTCGTATCAATCGGACAAACATTAGGTGTTTGGTGCACTACTTACCTAAAATCGGACGAAAATATATTAACTTCAGTACATTGTACAAAACCGTGTGCCAATCAGACAAACTTTGGGTCCTTAGTGTAAAATTTACATGAAATCGAAAGAAAATATAAATTCATTACTTGTATAAATTCCGTATATATAAATGTATTGTATATTTAAAAAATCCTTCTAATTCTACAGAGCAACGGAAACATTCGTTGACTTAGATACCTTGTCAAAAATCTTATACTTATACAGTTTAATCCGCTAAAACCGAAAATAATACAGTCCTTTTTACTTCTTCAAAATAGGCTTCTCTAATTAGTTCTAGCAGTCAGGTATGTTGCATTTTTGGGCGTACTCTGCAAACATTTTCTATGTTTACGTCTAACGACAGTATTCAGTATACTTCCCCTTAAGACGATATCGTTTTGAAATATTTTTCATTCTCGATATAAAGTTCTGAGTCCTCATCATCGCATCTATGTAATATTGTTTTTTTCTTGGGTTGTGAAGCATTAAATAGCGGCAGAAGTAATTTTGGGACTTGGTGGTTGCCCTTTCCGCACTCTTCTTTATTTGAAAATAAGATGCTGACTTTACAAAAATCACCTTCTGCTAAATCTGAATATGCGATACAAGAAACCCGGGCCGTTCTACCATATATGTTCTACCATATATATTTTCGGTCGATTTAGTAAAACTTCCAATGCGATGTGCTGCTGTATACAGAATGGCGTGACTAAAATTTGATTTTAATCGGACAAGGTTTGTATAATTTGTACATTTCCTACAACGATTTTGAAATTTTACCTGGCAACCAAGATGTAGAATCGTAAGATAATAACTAAATACTGCACTCTGAGAAGATGCATAATATGAAGTCTTTCACGTCAACTCATAGTCTTAAGTTATGTGGATTATACCTGCCTTCTCTCTCTCTCACACACACAAAATATCCAACATGCAATTAGAATTCCTGTAGAGACTGGCCCGTTATGTTTAACTTGATATTAATATCAATGTATAAAGAAGCTCTGCTATATATCAGCGAAACAGATCTTGTATTCATAAACAAAGGCCTCAGAATCATATACTAAATATACTGGCCCTAATACCATAGGTAACATTGAGCTGTGGAATTTAAGGAACCAGGAACCCATACAAAAGCAGATTAAACGTAAGAAATTGAGATGAATTGGTCAGACCTTGAGAAATAACGTCCATAATATAAGCATAATGGCGGTTGAATGGAATACCAAAGAGTTACAAGAAGCCGAGAACGCAATAAGTTTGCATTGGAAAATGCAACTAACGGAATGATATAGTCATCTTGCTTAAGGCTGCTTTGTGGAGCCCTATGCTTCCCAGAAGAGTAACAAAAATTATTTCGAAGGCCGCCTGGTTTCTCCCTTGCGTACGTCCCTAAAAGCAACCGGAAGCAATTAGGGTAGACCGGGGCAGCTTCGGCACTTTTTGTTAAGAGTTCTATAGCTCAGTAGCGGAGAATGGGGCACATTTGGCACTTTTTTACCAAAAACATATAATAAACCAGTAAGAAAAGTAGTAAAGTCGGACGGGCCGACTATATGATACCCTTTACCACTTTGGCTATATTCAAGAGATTAATCCTGGCAGACCTCGCATTTTAGAAGGACTATTGACATGCAAGTGGATTGCTTTACATATATGTTCTGTGTCTATATGTGAACCGAAAGCTTTGAAAGATATAATCTCCAGTTCTTCCACAATCATCAGTACATTATTTAGTGCACCATTTGTTAAAAATCGGACGAAAATATATATAGGAGCTATATCTAAATCTAAACCGATTTCAATAAAACTTGGCACACGTTATGCTACACCAATTTCAGACGTTAAGTTTCGTGAAAATCGGTTAAAATTTAGATATAGCTCTCATATACATTTTAGTTCGATTTAATGTAAATGGTGCACCAAAGTCCACATATATCTTTCGTACTGAACTTAGCATAACCAGAAGTTAGATATAAATGCTGCACTGGACCGGACACTGGTGTGTCCGATTGGCACAAAATTTTGCACAACTTATTGCAGTTATTATAGGATAACGTGTAGCAAGTTCAAAGACCCAAAGTTATGTAATTTATATAACCTAGCATGTGGAAAGTTTTATTGAAATCGGTTCAAATTTGGATAGAGCTGGATAGAACATACAGATTTTCTCCCGATTTTAATTAAATGATGCACCAAGAACTCAAAATGTGGCCGATATTCTGCGACAAGTTTCGATGAAATCGGCTTAGATTTCGATATAGCTTTTATAAATATTTTCGTCCGATTTTACGTAAATGGTGCACCAAACTCGGGTGTCCGAATGATATATGCTTTAAATTGATTTATATAATTTTGTCCCAATGTAAGAAGCAACTCTATATCTGACCAAATGAAAAATTTAGTATAGGTTGAAGAAATATATGTTTATGGGGCCAATTTCAATTTGCAGATCCTTCAAAAATGTTGAATATACCCAAAGTGGTGAAGGGTATCATATAGTCGAACCCGTCCGACTTTATTACTTTTCTTACAGGTATTTGAGTTTGTATTAGAACCTAAAATGGACTTAAACCACTTTCAAAACAAAAATGACTCAATTGTGCGACAGTTTCGTCAAAATTCTGTCCGATAGACACCTTCTTTCGAGTATACCAACCAATGTAGTGTGCTATAGAGGATTCAGATTTTGATAAAGTGTAATATATAAAATCGTCCTTGGAAAGATTACCATTATTTTATTAATCCACTTCCTTGCAGCTACCCCAAAAACCATTAGAATAAATAATGCATTTATTTATCAATAAATTGAATTTATTCTTTTTTTGTTCTCTCACATCATTTCTTCAACATAAAAATTATTCAGTTTCTTAATTAGAAATTATGGTAACATTTAAAAATTATATATTACAATTTAGTTTACTTACATCTACAGTACATAAAAAAGAGGGAAAATTAATTTATTACACCTAGAGAAAAAATTCTTTGGAATGATTGTTGGTAAATGTGGCATTCATCATTACCCCTGCACAATAATAATATCAAAAGTCACAAAAATTACAAATTAAATAATTCAAAATGGAATTATTTTTGTACATAACTAGCTATGATTGATTTCTATTATTATAATGTTCTTAAAAGCTTTTTTTTAACTATATATATGTTGCATTATTGAAGAATTTATACAGGCTTAAGTAATAATGAATTTTTGATTATTAGTTTTTTGTATTATTTTACACTAAAAATTTAATCTCAAAAAAAATGTACAACATTTATGTTATAAACTCTTATAAAATATTGGAATTTTGTTTTTGGTTTACATTTACATGGTATTTAAATTAATTATTTTTTTATGTAATTTACATTTATATTATTTTATAAGCAAACGTGTTTTAATTTACATGGAGTTATTAGAAACATCGTTCTGTCATGTTTTATTCTATTAAAAATATGTTTTGGCAACACGGGAGTTTTCTATTTCTCAGTATTTTCATTTTAGAAAAATAAAAAAAAAACAAAATCTGAATTATGTATTAAATTATATATAACAATTTTTTTATGTATGGTATAACAAATAAATGAAATTAGTTCATTTAAATTTTTTTTTTATATCTCCTTAATTTTAGGCAATAAATAAATTAAAATTTTGTGATTTTTCTACAACTGTTGTATTCAATATTGCACATGTTCGTTGTTCTGGCCTGCTTACTGACAATTGAGTATGATGCACATGCGTCTGGGCATGATTAGTATTAACGTTGTGGGTCATGTGGGACCCATGATGTGACTGAGGGTGATGATGGTTGTGATTCTGATGAGTATGTGAGGATTGTTGCATTTGCGACAACAATTGAGTATGGTGACTTTGTTGTTGTTCGTGATGCTGCTGTTGTTGTTGATGTTATACCAGCAATGATACCTTTTGGCAATTCATTGCGGTCAGCTGGGCATTTAAGGCTGTATTTGTCGTAGGACCATGGTGTTGTGATGGACCCCCCACAGACGGGGGCGATGACAAGCCACCAACTTGACTGGAACCACTACTGCCGTTCGAAAGCAATCCATTTTCATGTTGGCCACTTTGAGCGGCTGCCGCAGCCGCTGCTGCCAAAAAGTCCACCTTACCCATATTGCGCTCGAGCAATGGACCCAAATTTGTGTGTTGCGTTTCTTTGTGACGTCGCAAATCCACTTTACGTTGAAATGACTTGTGGCAGAGTTTACAGGAGAATGGTTTATAGCCGGTATGTTTACGTGAATGGGTGATGAGGTTGGAACTTTGACTGAATGCCTTGCCGCACACTTGGCACTTGTGAGGTTTTTCACCTGCAAGAACAAAAGGGAAACAAAGGGGAAAAATGTTAGCAATCAAATGGCTATGGTAAATGTGATTTCATTTATTATTTAAATTGTCATAAAATAAAATCTTGGAAGTGAAAGCCAAGGACGTAGACGGTGGAATTGGGTGTAGAGTAAATCTCAGAACTGTACTATTATATTGAAAATTATTTTAGCCTCGTTATTATCATATAAGAATTGAATTCTTGAGCCAACATTTTAAACTACTCAAGTTGTTAGGAATTTGTGGAGATATACCGAACATAGACAAATGATGCAAGACATAGTTATGTCCTACCTATAATCATGTAGTAAAAAAAACCTATATAAATCATAAAATCCGATATGCTTTACATCGTTGTCTCTAGCATTAATTCCTTTCCTGTAATATGAAATGAAAACCACATGGCTTGAACTCCCCCACACACCAAAATATACATTTGAAAAACAACCCCCAACTTGTATAATGTCTCTCCAAACACTTTACACTGTAGTCTGTTCTTTAAATTTCTCTTCTTAATTTTATCTTCATTTTTTGTACTATAACATTTTATATTCATTTAAAGTGTCTGATGTGCTCTGTGGTTAGGAGAATATTTGTGTGGTTTTTGTGGTTGAATTTTTCCTGCATTTTTTATTTTGCCTTGAAATTTGTATTTAAATATTTTTGTGATTTACAGCAGTGGCTTTCCTGGATTAGAAATCTACGTTTTTAATCTTTTGTTTTTAATATTGGGTCTAAAAACATAATATGCAAATTAAAGTCATGTATTTGTAATAAAGTATTCTATACTTCTCACTTTTTTTATTCAACCCACAGCTCTAGAATTAACATTCATTACAATCTGACAGGTAAACAAAAAAATTCTTTACAAATGAAACAAAAACAAATCTCTTACCCAACACAAGCACATAAAAATCACAAAATATATATATATATATATATATATAAAACAACAAAAGTAAAACACAATCTATAAAACAAACGTTCCATTTCCCCTGTATTGAGCATCCTTTACTCAGCGAAATAAAAAGAAAATATTATAAATGTTTCGAAGAAAAAAATCTTAACATAAATAAACTTAAAAGGAGTATAGGATGAAGTAAACATCAAGTCAGGGAAAACATTTCAAAAATACAAAAAAACAAACATTGAAATATGCGAAAATCATGGCCAACGCCTTGAGAAAAAAAAACACAGAACCACGTAAAAGGACCATCTAGAAGAAGGGAAGTAAGAAAAACACACAAAAAAAAAAAAAATGAAAAACTCTACATTATCCAAAAGATTGCAATAAATAAAAAAGTAAACTTTGCTTTAAGTAAAAATAAAAACAACAAAAAATAAAATGGAAAAAATAGAAATAGTGTTTCTGCGAAGTTCTGGGGTAGTGCCGTTTTAGCTAGACTTTATTCATATAATCTGTGCGATACTACGTGACGTTATTTGGGCCGTTAGCATATGGACGTGCTTAGAAACCAGAGACTAGACGTCGTTCAATATCAAGGCAAACAGGAAAATACAAGTAATCTTTGCTAGAAGAAAAACACCATTTCAGGCGCCCAGAGGAAGAAGACAAGGATGATGATAGACAACTTGTATGTATCCTTACCAAGTCATACTAATTTATATAAGGGTGTAACGAATAAATACTACTTGAATCTAAAAGCTCTAAGCCAGAACGCCAAAAAATGAAAAATGAAACAACCGAATGTAAAACTAACCGTTGTGAGAGACAATACTAACAAGTGAAAAAGAGTTAAGTTCGGCCGGGCCGAACTTTGGATACACTCCACCATATAGGTATTTGAAATGAAAAAGTGTACCGATATTTATAATTTTTAATAGAGATATATTGTACTCAATAAGAACCCAATGTACCAAATTTCAGCGAATTCGGTTGAAAATCGCGCTCAAAATACCGAAAATTGGGGGTGCCCTTACATGGGGGCTACCAGAGAAAGTGGGCCGATATTTATAATTTTTAGTAGAGATATTTGGTACCGAATATGAACCCAATGCACCAAATTGCAGCGAATTCGGTTGACAAGCGCTCTCAAGAATCCCAAAATACCGAAAATTTGGGGGGTACCCCCAAAATACTGAAAATTTGGAGGTACCGTTATATGGGGGCTACAAGAAAAAGTGGACCTATATTTATAATTTTTTGTGGATACATTTACTACCCAATAAGAACGCAATGTACCAAATTTCAGCGTATTCGGTTGAAAAACGCGCTCAATAACCCCAAAATACCGAAAATGATGGGGTACTGTTATATGGGAGCTATACCTAAACGTGGACCAATATATCCCATCTTCGGACTTGAGCTGCCTGCAAACAATAGACAAACCTATGCAAAATTTCAGCACCCTATCTCAATTCCTTCAAAAGATAGCATGATTACAACAGACGGACGGACGGACATGGCTAGATCGTCTTAGAATTTTACCCTGATCAAGAATATATATACTTTATAGGGTCGGAAATGAATATTTCGATGAGTTACAAACGGAATGACAAAATTAATATACCCTCCATACTATGGTGGAGGATATAAAAATGTACAATTAATTTTGTAATTTAATTTTATTTGGGGAAAGGTCCCTTATCTCTTAAAACTGTGGTTTTCCATACCAACTACCTTAGTAATAATATCTATGTATGTTCAAAAATTGACATTCGTTATACCCTACAGTTTCTCTTCCATTCAATTTGATACGAATTGTAGTGCGTTTTAATACATTTCCCCCCCTCTTTGATGATGTGATTGCTCCTGTTGTTTGGCTCCTTTTATGTGAATACTCCATCGCTACACAACTCACAACATTGTGTAATTGTAAAAGGAACGAGTAAAACGTCATGATTGCCCTCTCTTGCTCATAGCCATCCCAAATTAACACAAATCCTCAAACCCCCCCGCCCAGCCCCGGCAATGGAGCTAGCTTAGAGTACAGTGCAAAGATCATAAAAGCAACCGCCATAGCTAAAGTGAACGCCATCACTTTAGGGGGTATACGACGAATGAATCCATCCATTCACGTTTAGGTTGAGGGTAAAAATCTGTTGTTGAAGGAATCAAAGCACATCCCAATGGTCGAATGTTTTAACAATCACGTCCCTGCAATATCATTATGTACTCAATTCAACTTTGTTCCTTTTAGATGTGCGTACAATGACATAACAGGATAGGAGAAGAGAAGAATATACAGTGGTAGGGTAGTGGTAGTACAGTAGAGAATTGAATGTTTTGTTAAACAAGTGTGTGTGTGCACGTGTGTGTGTGTGAGGGAATCTGTAATGGGTATGAGTTTGTAGAAAGTAGTTAAAATTCCAAACCAATGATTTCAGTTTCAAGACTCGTTTGGTGTCGTTGTTGCTTGTTTTTATTTTTCATACAGATTTGTTCTTTTCTTTGACATTATTTTACGATTGTTTTCCTCTATATACTAACACACATACATGTATATATCGATTTACTATATAGGGATTTTATATAGTACAGATACACACATACATACATAAATATATAGCTGTGTGAGTATATACTATTTTTTGCTGAAAATACATGTCTTGAGATTCCTCTTGCAAAATATTCGTGTGTGTGTGTGTGTATGTGGAGTGAAAGAGTAGACAAAGAAGAACAAATGGAAAAAAGCATTGACTACTGAGAGTAACAGCACACACGCTCAAACCCGAAGTAGCCGAATACATAAAGGAAAATCTGTATCATGGCTGAAAATCATTGAAATCTGTTTAGTTTAAAGCATGGATTCAAATTGTTCAGGGTGTTCTGGGTTGTTAATATCATTGTCGAATAGATAGGTATGTGTCTGTGTGTGTCTTGTCTGTCTGACATTTTATCCTTGGTGTAGGATGGGCAAGAACATGCTGTATATTTGGTTTGTCTTAACAAAACCAGAAACATATACTAAATCTATTAAGAGGTGAAACAACGGAAATGTTTTGAATGTGTCTGTGTTTAAAGAATGAATTCGGGTTTTAAGGAAGCATTTACAGGAAATCAATGTTTAAAAGGTTTAAAGTCGTTCTATTTCACGGATTTCGTTAGTTTATGATTTAAATATTTAAACGAAATCATGGCGTTTAGTTTGGCGCGGTACAAAATTGTTGTATAGAAAATTTGGTGTATAAAACATCATAGGCCGGCGATAATAAACATTTCAACGGTTTCAGCACTATATTTAGGGTATCTTAAATTTAAATATAAAAACATTTCAGTGGGGAAATTTGGTACCCAATAAGAACCCCATGTACCAAATTTCAGCGAATTCGATTGAAAACAGCGCTCAAGAACTCTAAAATACCGAAAATTGGGGGTTACCCTTATATGGGAGCTGCCGGAAAAAATTCAAGAACTCAAGAACTCTAAAATACCGAAAATTGGGGGTTACCCTTATATGGGAGCTGCCGGAAAAAATTGACCTATATTTATAATTTTTAGTATAAAGATTTGCTACCTAATAAGTACTCATAGTACCGAATTTCAGCGAATTCGGTCGAATGGTGGAGAGATTTGCTACCCAATAAGAACTCTATGTATCAAATTTCAGCGAATTCAGAACCTCAAAATACCGAAAATTGGGAGATACCCTTTTATGGGAGCTATGCCTAAATGTGGACCGATGAAGCCCATCTTCGAACACGACCTGCCTGAAGACAAAAGACGACTCTATGCAAAATTTTAGCGATCTATCTTAATTCGTTTAGACGCTAGAGTGATTACAACAGACAAACGAACTTGGCTATATCGTTACGCTGATCAAGAATATATATATATACTTTATTTCGATGAGTTACAAACGGAAAAACAAAATTAATATACCCCTCATACTATGGTGGAGGGAAAAATATGAATATTGCTCTTTCAATATTTCAACATAGCTAAAAAATAGAATATTACGCTAAGCAAAAGGATGCATCCAATTTAAAATTTAATAAACGGAATAAAAATCTGTGGGAAAGAATGTAAAAAATGTGTTTTTTCGGATAAGAACAATCCACTCACTTTTTTACGAATAAACGAAATTTATTGGATCACCTATGTTTGAAGAAATTACGCGAAATCACGTTTGTACCTTTCATCACAATGCAATGTGAGTATTTTTTTCTCTAAGTGTATTGTATTTCAGTTAAAATTTCATTTTATTTCCTTTTCCGGCACGGTTGCCGCTGTTGTGTGTACGTGTATGGATCTGTTTGTGTAACACTATGAATGAATGTAAGGAAAACGGCCATAAAAGAAAATCGAAGACTAAAACGATAAAAATACTTAGAAGATATAAAGACGCTGATTTTGATTTCAGTTTTGCTACACATAAACACGCAAAAATGTTAAATGAAGCAGAAAGCAACAGCAGAGAATGCATAGATTTTTATGCAGGATATAATAAAATATAAAACCTTAAGAGAGAGGGTTTTATGATTTTTTTTTTCGAAGATATACATACAAATCTGTGAAATTAAATAAATTTTGCCTTACAAATATTTATTTATATTAAAGTTAATTGAAAATTTTTTGTCTCATAAATAATATTTTCCTGATTGTGTTTATTTGAGTTTCTTTATAGCCATTCCTTTGTTTATTAATCTCTATTCGATTTTTGTATTGATTGCGCTGTTGCTGTACCTTCCATTATTTGATGCCATTTTGTAAATCTAAGGAAATTCGAAAAATCAAGCGCTATTTCCTCCACTTGTAATTTGGCAATGGAAGAAACGGGGGGATAGAGTTCGCCGTAATGGGGTTGATTTCATGAAAGGTAGTTTTATTACAACGCTCCACCATGACAAGCACCATTTCATTATTTGCTTAACTTCCTATGGATGTATTGCTTAGGGAAGTGGGTTTGGGTTTTATATCGTCTGTGTCGGTGTGTGTGAGTGTATGTGTATAAAGCTTATAAAATCAAGTTGCCTTGACTAAATTTTTCATTGGTTGTCTGTGATTTTTTGTTGGGCTTCATACAACTGCAGCTATGGCAAACACATTGATGCTCTTCTTGGCTGGTGGGGGGGCTTCAAAGCTTTTTTGTTTTTGTATTGTTTCGCAAAGAGAGTTGAGTAGTCTTATCTATGGCAATCAGAACGCTATGCAAGAGAGCTGTATGGCATTGAGAGAGAGATTGACATCCCACTGTGTTTCATGATTCCATTCTATTTCATTTACGCCATCATTGCACAAAATCCAGTGCGCACGACAAGCTCTCTCTCTCTCTCTCTTTGTGTCTTGCCATTTTTTTATTATTATTATTTTTGCAGGTTTTCACAACAAAAGCTTTTGTATATATTTGTAAAGAGCGTGAGTGCATAAGAATGAGAACCACAAGACGTGGTTGTGTATTTGGGTGCGTGCGTGGGGGCGACACTGATAAATGTAATTGTATGGATTTTAGTATTGGGACTCACTCTCCTTTGGAGGAGTCTTTCAATGAAGTTTAGTGATTTTTTCTTTACATTTCCAGATTTTCCAAAAGCCATGGTGGGGGTTGGGTGTCATACGCCTGAGTGGGGATAACGAATATTTGTGTTGTGATTTCTCTTGCATAGCTGGGTATATTCCATTTATTTCAAGCCACCCACCTTCCGTCTCTCAAATCTTTGCAGTTTCCACAGCATAGTACCGTTATCACCAGAAAGGATTTTTATGGAATTTATGCTGGGAGACATTTGAAAATGGAGAACAAAAAAAAAACTATGAGTGAGTAAATGGAGCAGACTACATTAGAAACCACATTCAGATGAATCGCTTTTTCAGTGTATGCGTTTTGCTTTATCCTTGTGTAATATAATCTGTATACGTCAGAATTTTGTATATATGTATATGTGTGAGTGTGGCATTAACGTCTATTCGCGTTGTGCTGATTTTCCATTTATTAAATTTTGTGTGTGGTTTTTTTCATGTTTGATGCTGATCTCTGTGTCTGTGTGCGAGTGTGTTTATATAAATTCATTCCGTTGAATGGCAGCAGATTTTGATTTAACATTTCAGGGATTTAATGTATTTTGAAATTGAATTTGGCTTAGATTTTATTCAACACATAAATGTCCAACATTCGTACAAATACATGCATGCATGTGAATGAACATGATTATGAATATTTCAATGCAATGTTAGTTTTTTTCTTCCTCTATTTAGGTTGGATATATTAAAATGAATAAAATTGAACAACACAATACTTTAATAAATTATTTAAAATTGTTATGTAAATTTTAGGCAGTTTTGTTATGTTTCGTCATACATTTAGGAACAAAATCTATTTTTTGATTAAATTTTAGATGTTGAAATGAAAAAATGATATTGGTGTTGAAATAAAATATCGACGACAAATAGATTTTGACAGGTTAGCTATGTGTGCGTTAATCTCTCCCAAAAATTGTTGCAGGAAAAACATGTCATCTGGTGGTACGATTTTTTATTATGGAAGAGATATTTGTTTTTCGTTGAAATATCATCTCTGTAGAAAGGTTGATATTTTTTAGTCCTTAATTAATTATCAAGATCCTATGAATATACTGTTATGAATATTCTATTATTAGACCTCAACATTCTACATTTATATCCTTGGTCTTTCACTTCCATTATATTTTGTTTTTCTATTATTTCCTACACTTTGACAGAGGATTCTTTTGGCTTTTAATTAAGATTTTGTTTTTTTCTCTCTGTGGCATTTCAGAACTTACCTGTATGAATGTACGTATGCTTCTTCATATCACTTTTCTGATGGAAACGTTTGCCACAATAACTGCAAGGGAATGGTCGGGTATCGCTGTGTATGAGCAGATGAGTGGACAAGGTGCTGGATCGTTTAAAACGTTTGCCACATTGTTTGCATTCAAAGACTTTTTCGACATTATGAACAGCCCTAAGTAAATGGAAAACACCAACAATTAAAAAAACGAAAGACAAACAACAAGAACAACGATTATAATTAGTTGACGAGAATTAAAATTAAAAAGTAAGTTGGATTTTGTGTAAACCAAATAGGTTTACCATCATACCAATTACTACTACATTTCTGTTCTGTTTGTCTACTAACCTGTGTTGACTTAAACTAACTTCATGGCCAAAGGTCTTATTGCATAGCTCACAAGCATAGGGCTTTTTGCCATGATGTGTCCTGCGAGAGTGTACCTCTAGACCGTGGGGTGTGGAGAACATTTTTTCGCATTTCATGCATGAGTACAGGTCACTGAATTGTGGTAAACCAGGCCACTTCGCAGCCATATGGTGAAAATGATGCAAATGCGAGGGGTGAGCGGCCAGGCCCAAATGAGAATTTGGTGGTAGACCATTGGCACCAGGAACACCGACACCAGCCGCTGCCGCATGGCTAGTACCATTCTGGGCAGTCTGTAGAGGCGCCATTAAATTACGCAATCTAAATAGGTCTTCTTGGGAGGCAGGGTGATAACTACGGAAAAAATACACACAAATGGAAAAAAGGGTTTACATAGAGGTTTTAACAAAATTAAAATATGTAAGCTTAATTATAATACCAGCCACTTAGCCAATTGCCATTACCACTTACCTCGAACTTAAACCAGATTGCTGTTGCTGACCCTGATGGAAGGCAAATGCAGCAAAGAAGGGAAAGGCAGGCGACAGGAAGGGTCTTTGAAACATGGCTTGTTCGTAGTTGGCGGGGTATGCTTGTCGGAAAGCCTCAAACGGATCACAGCCAGTCGGATGGGTATGTAGGGATGATGACTTTTGATGGTTATCATCTTTACGTAGCAAGGCGGATACCGAAAACATTTCAGACTTTTTGGGACTAGTACGACTACTGCCATCACTACTGCTCATTTTTTCACTCGTATTGTGGGCACTTGATGGTCTGGAGGCTGGAAGTCTTGGCGGCACTGGGGATGTGGGTGGTGAATCAACTTCTAACTCCACTGAACTGGATCTTGATCGTGATCTTGAATGTAATGAGCGCCGACAGTTGCTGTCATCATCTAAATCAATTTGTGACGAAGACGAGCGTGATAGGCTACGTGATCGCGAGCGTGAGGCACGTTCATAGAGACGTTCAGCTTCCAAATTGGCCAAGTTGGGGTAATGCAGGGGCATTCCATTATTGTTGGCATTGTCCAGTTTCCATTGTAATATGTGATTTTTGCTCAACATTGTAAGGCTATTGTTGTTGGTTTCTTCTTTAATAAGTTTGTTGGAATTGGCGGCGACGGCGGCTGCTGCAGCAGCTGCTGCTGCCATAGCTGCACTGTGGGCTTGCAATTGTTCAGTCTTTACTAAACGATTAATGCTGAAGGCAAGTTCATCTGAAAAAGAGGAAATAAATGAGAATAGTTAGGAAAATTTGACTCTTCATAAAAAAATATTCAAAGTAATATTGGTTGTTGCAAGAAATTTAACCCTTTTTCTGTTTCATTACGCCGTTTAACTTCACCTTAGACACCCATGGCATGGAATAAGGTGTAGGCGTGAAGGAAATTACCCGCTTTGTATGTTTTTGAATTTTGTCATGCTCCATTTAACCGGGTGTGGACAAGAACAGATGTTTTTTTTGTTCCCTTGTAACGCATATTAAACCCGATTAACACAGACATAACAAAAGGCGTTTGCAAAATCAGCTACCGCATTCAAAAAGGATAAATCGTGTGATGCCAAACATTTGTATATTTTGACTGCAGCAACACAATCATCCTGGCATCATTGCAACCCCAAACTTTAGTAGAAAACAACAGCAGCAGCAACAACAACAACAACTACAGTTAAATGATACAGCTTTAATCATGTTTGAGGCACAAATTTGCTGATTTGTTGAAGGCTATGTGCCTTTGACTCGTTGTCATCCAGACTGCCTGCCATGCCTTCCGTAACTGATTTGTGTTGTTGCTGTTGTTGTTGTCGGTGTTTTGATTAGGGTGGCAATGGCGTTGATGATGTCGCTACTGTCGACTGGCTGGCTTTTATCCCCGGCATTAATGGTCATGTAAGGTGGATTAGTGTAAATATTCATTCTTGTTCTTCATCTGATATGGATTCAATGTAAAAATAATTATGTTTTGAAATTTGATATGGTATATCATGAATTTCAATTTTTTTTCATTCGTATTTCGAAATGAGTTTGTGTTTTTTTTGTGCCACCATATGTGAACTTGGACAGCAAAACAGGTGGATTGTGTTAAGATTTTTCCGCTAGTATGGGGTGATTTTTGAGGATGTGAAAAAAGGGTGTGGCTGTGCATGATTAATGGTTTCATGGTCAATAATTTACAATGAGATTTTAATTGTTATTTGAAAAATTATATTGTCTGAAAAGCAAATCGTGTTCTGTGTTACAAAATATCAATGACGATTCAAAAGAAAGGGTTACGACTTTGTTTGTCCTATATAACAAAATAGAGATTTCAAAGCAAACTGTTAAAAATAATGTTAGCAAAACTATGTTTGACTTTATATTTGGGGTTATGTCAATACACAAGCTACAAATTTTTATAGAAATTAAGACCGATTTTCGTACAAAAAAAAGGAAAAAAGCTTCCAGAATTGATTGTAGCTACTTTTGCAAAGAAAATTAAAAATATACGTAACACTTCTCTGCAAAACGGGAAACGGTCTTCTATATTCTACCTTTTAAGGTTCCGCCAAATAAACATACATTTTCAATACAAACATTACAACAATATATTGTTGTAATATTTGTCCATAATATCTATTTACAAGAATCATTAGTTCCGATGACCAAACAATCTGCTGCATAACTTGCACATGGTGAATGATAGAGAGAATGCAATCGATTCCGTTCAATAAATTAAATGGAAAAATAAATACACAAACATAACGTAAAGTACACAAATAAACCTCTGAGTAAGAAGAGTGGGGGTTGGCATGTACGTTTTGGCATACCAAGCAAGGCAATTTACAAGAAATACCTTTTCACAAACTTATCAATATCATAAATCAGAAGGCTATCTAAACTTTAGACTCATTTCGATTTCCAATTCACTCTTGTGGACATGGCGAGGTGATTGAATGGTAGACAGACAGAAATGTCGAATGAATTTCTACCTATGGAGGTGTGAGTCTGACTCTATGCCATAGCGAGGACGTACATTGCTAAAGAGAAATGAATTTATGTATATTTAATAGAATTTTTTATGACCATAGTTCAATCGATGTCCGATTTTTTTTCTGTCATAATGAATATCGAGTTTTATTCTTCAACATTACTCTTCTCGAAGTGTGATAAGATTTATTTCCTATTTACGGAATGCAAATAATGAATTAACTCAACTGCTTTTAAAATATGTCTTTCTTTCTGAGCGGACTTGTGTAATAAGATCTTCTTTATTTATATACCGTTGAAGATAGCTTTTTATATTTTTATTGCAAAGCTAATAAGAATATCCTCTCTTTGAAGGTAAATGCCGACAATTTTCAATATTGACATTTATTTGCCACACACTTCACTTTCATTTATGGTGAAAATTATTGCAGTATCTTTCTTATTGGTTTCTAAAGTGTGTGTGTAGATATTGACCAACCACTGAGCTATAAAATGAATACACGTTTTATAATTTTATATGATTTGATTGATTTTTTTATCGTATCGTAACGTTTGGACACACAATAAAAGTCAGTGTGGGACTTCTATAAATAGAGGGAATTGATTAAAGTCCAAAAGTTATTCACATTTTATCGTTTACTTATCTTGCAAAACGGAGAATTTTCAGTTGCTAGTTTAATGTTGCGTGGTATTCAATTCGGTCAATAGTGATGAATGAAAAAAAAAAAAATAAAATAAAATTTATAACTCTCTAAAACCCAAATATTAGATTAGCCAGTATTTGCTTAATCTGAAAAAAAAATAAAACAAAACCAAATTCCTGTGGGTAACGCTGTTAATCGTTTAAAATCTGTTTTGTCCCTAACTAATATTCGAATTATTAAATCTAAACCTTTATCTTTTTATAATACGTTTGATAATCTGACGAATAACACCAGAAACCAATCTAAATGAAAAAAATCGTAGACTTAATCTCATGTAAATAACTTTGAATTGCTATAGATTAGTTTCGATTTTCTGTTGTTTTAGTTAGAAACGATTAATTATTTTATTACTGATTTGTGGCTGATTAATGTTTATATCGAACGTGTTTAAAATTAAAAAGCATGCAATTTAATACTTTAAATTTTAGTATAGCAGTTCCTAGATAATGTCAATTATAAGCATTATGAATAACTCATAAAAAATACAAAAAATATGCCCTTCTACATCTGCTAGAATAGCTAAATCCTTTCATTAATAGTTTTTATTGTATATAGAATTATTTTCTATTAATGATTAATTCCTATCAAACGACATATTTATTATTAATTCAACTGAACTATCCCCTTTCATACAATTAACGTAAATAGTAACTCCCAAAGGTCGTAGCCATCGTCATCATCATCATCATCGATATCAAAAGAAATCTAATGATTTATTTTGTGTAAATTATCATCCAAATTAGAATTTACCACTAGCGACACCCTAGGTTTCAAAGAAAGTCATTCCTTCTTCATATCCTCATTGCGTCAACTTTTGCCTTTTGCACAGATAAACATTATTACGTGGTAGCGTAACACCCCAAGAGGCAAAAAAACAAAACGTCAGAAGATGGTACGTGCTCATGCCACTTGTATTGCGTTTATTTTCCTATTTCCTATTGCCTATGAAATTGAATAAAACCGCCCTAATAATTATATGGTATGTGCGAAATTGATGAAAATTATATGCGGCTGTCAGTTGGGTGGTTGAGATGTCTGGCTCAGGCATAGTGATATACGCACACACCATCACCATCCCCACCACCACAATAAAATTTTACCATCAGCCATGCTGTGCGCACTTGAAATAGACATCATCACCGTATTTAGCGTATCTATACGCATAATTTGATGACAATCTGTTCGATTTTCTCTGTATTGTACCCACCTCCTGTATGTCTTCATCATCTTCATGCTTGATTCATGACTTCGATTTTATTTGCCACCGCTGATGAATAGGGCGTAATGGTAATGATTTTGAGGGTATGAGATCAAGAGCAAATAATAAACGGGGGCATTTGAGTTTATTACTAAATAAATGTGATTTGAATAGGTTTGTGTGTTATTTGAACTGTTCAATTTCTGTTTTTTTTTTCAGTATGACAAAATTTGATTTTTCTAACCATTAGAGGAAATTAATGTAGTAAATGGGAACTTTTGTAATTTTCCACTTTTATATAGATTTTTAAGTCATTTTATAATACTTTGAAAAATTATTTTTTTATTTCATCATAGACTTGAATAAATATACTTGAAATTTCAAGCTACTTTTTTGTTAATAGGCGGCGTCATCTAAGCCAGAGTACATTTTACCACAATAGTATCCATTATCAGCTACCATATTTTATTATAGTGCTGCATTGCATTTTATGTTAATGCCGGACCCACCACAGAACCCAGGCGAGATGTTATGCCTTGTCACTGAATTAGAAAGGTATAAAATGTTTTGATTGACATATGTCATGCGGTGCCATAAAATGTCGAACAATTTAGAATCACCACCACAATGAGTTATAGCAATAAATCACCTGTTACAGACATTTATGTCTTGAAGACGATTTGAAACAGTTTCGTTTATGTGGAATGTTCATTGATTTTTTTAAATAAAATGAAACCGATTTTTATTTTATTAAAAGAAGCCGCTGTAGTTCGTTATGAAATACAAATGCAAATTAAAATTTGATTTTAACAAAATTTACTTTTACCTATTTTTTTAATTTTTATATATTTTTAAAACATTCAGGCGTTCATCGAATATGTCATAAATCAAACTGTGTTTTATTTTTTTTTAACATATTTGTCAGTTTTAATTTAATTCGAATAGCATTTATTTCAACACACTTTGCTAACTATAACCCTTTACCCATCTATTCCTGATGTCATTGCTATAATTTCCAAAGCAAACAAGTGAAATCAATAGGAAATCCACCACTAAACAGCCGACACATTTAAAACCCCAACTCTGGTTACTTAGGTTAACTTAATACGAACAAAAACAACGACAACAACAACATCCATGAAATCTTTAGGACATTTTCCAAAGATTACCACCCTCTTGGTGGCTGGAAAACAAATACGGATAAATGTTCGGCAAACATTACTACCGGTTAAAAAGTGAACAGCAGAAGCAGCAGCATATGTAACTACACTAAACTCGAGCATACGTACAAGAAAAACAATAACACCAACATGTAGACAAGTGTACAAACGACCAACACTTGTTTTC